CAACACACACACACACACACACACACACACACACACACACACACACACACGAAGCAGAGATAGGCTCTGTGAGTTCAAGGCCTATGCATAACACAGCCTGATCTCCCTAGAAAGCTTTAGGCCAGTGAGATCCTGTCTAAAAAAGAAAAAAAAAAGAGGAAAAAAAGAAAAAGAAAAGAAAATCACCTTCACCATGCCCCTAGTAACCAGCTCTTCTTTTTCCTAAAGTCCATAAAAAGAAGCAACCAGTGTCCTTCTCTAATCAAGCAGCCCTCTGCTCGGCTTCAATGTATCTGATCTTTATTGCCCTGTGCCTCTGAATAAGTCACCTTGTTATCTTGCAGTCAGCAAGTCTGTGTGTACATCTGTAACTCTTTGAATAAGACACCAACACCAGCTCTGTCCTCACACTCAGCTCCTCTCTGTGCCCAGTTTTCCTGTCCTCATAGCTTTAGTAAGCTCCTATGCTTCTGATTTCATCTTCGTCTTCTGTTCCTTCATTAGAGGTGGGGAGACTCACCTTTACTGTGGGTGGCACCATTCAATGGACTGGGGTCCTAGAGTGAATAAAAACGAGAACGTGAGCTGAGCCTCAGCGTCCATCTTTCCTTCCATACTGTGGGTGACATGTAACCAGCTGTCTCAAGCTCCTGCCGTCATCATTTCCCACCATAGCAGACTGCATCCTGGAGCTGTGGGTCAAAACAAACCACTGCTATGTCAAATTGCTTCTTGTTACTGTTTTGTCATTGAAATGAGAAAATCAACACATATGGCATCCTCCCTCCAACATGGGCCTTCTTAGTGTGCTTCTGAAATCTAGGAAAGGGGCTGGCTGAATGTGTGACAGAAGATAAGCCAATTGTCTAACTCACCTTGATGAAGAGTTGAAGAAAGAAAATTAGATACTCTCACCCTTGAGTATTTCTTCCTCTTTGGGGAGACTCTCATGGTGTGACAATAATGAATGGACATGACCACTAGGGTTGGAGGTCCCCTGACCCAAATGGTCTCAGTCAGCACTGCCAGGCTGAAACAGCCACCTGAGAGCAAAGATGGGACATTGTTATTACGAAAGAGTATTAATGACAGAAAACAGATGAGCATTTAATATGTTGCAAGTCAGTCCTCCACATGACTAAGCTATTTTAAGTCAAGTACACGCACATCAAGACTGTGGAGTAGGTGTGAATTGGTTAGTTTTATGTCAGCCCGACATAGGCTGGAGTCATTTGGGAACAAGGACTCTCAACTGAGAAAATGCCTCTATGAGATTTGCCTGTAGGCAGGTCTACAGTGCATTTTCCTGATGAAATGATTGATGTGGGAGGGCCCAGCTCACTGGAGGTGGTGCCATCCCCCTCCGGCAGGTGGTCTTGAGCTGTAGAAGAAGGCTGAGGAAGCCATGGACATCAACCCAAAGCAGCCATTCTTCCATGGCCTCCACCTCAGTCCTGCCCCTCCTGAGTTCCTGTCCTGACTTCCCTCAGGAATGGACTGTTACCTACAAGCAGGAGATGAAATAAACCTTTTCCTCTCTGAGTTGCTTTTGATCATGGTATTTTATCACAGCAATAGAAACCCTTAATTTAGACACAGTGCAGTTAGAATGTCAGATTTAGAGATTATTGGTTAAGTACATTGTTCACAATGGGTGTCAGAGCACATGGTCATCAGGAGCCTACGGCTGGAGGGTTTCCCTAAGTAGATAGAAAAGTACATGGAAAGGCAAATTCAAAGGGGAAGAAGAGAGCTAGGGATACGGCTGACTTGGTTGCCTATAGTGTATGCAGTTCTGGGTTCAATCTTGTGCTTGTGTTTTAGATCAACTTGACACAAGCTAGAGTCATCTGAGAGGAGGGAGCCTCATTTGAGATGACGCCTCCATCAGACTGGGCTGCAGACAAGCCTGTAGGACTTTTCTTAATTAGTGATTCATGGAGGAGAGCCAAATCCATGGTGGGTGGGGCCACCCCTGGGCTAGTGATCCTGGGTGCTACAAGAAAGCAGGCTGAGTGGGCCATGAAGACAAGCCAGTAAGCAGCACCCCTCCATGGCCTCTGCATCAGCTCCTGTCTCTAAGTTTCTACCCTACTTGAGTTCCTTCCCCGACATCCTTTGGTTATGGACTGTGAGGCGGAACTATATGCCGAAATAAATCCTTTTCCCCCAACTTGCTTTTGATCATGGTGTTTTACCATAGCAATAGAAATCCACAGACAAATCCCCGGCCAAAAATTCTAAATGTGGTGGCCTATGCCTGTAAATCCCATCACTTGAGGAGGTGAAAAGAAGAAGAATCAGGAGTTTTGAGTACAGCCAAAGCTACATGAAGCCCTGTCTTAAAATTTTTAAAAATTCAAAATAAAAATTAGGGGGCTGGAGAAATGGCTCAGTGATTTAGAGCACTGGCTGCTCTTCCAAAGGACCCAAGTTCTATTCCCAGCACCCACATGGCAGCTCACAACATCTGTAACTCCAGTTCCAGGGGTTTTAACACCTGCCCCCAGCATGCCCATAGTACACAGATTTACATGCAGGCAAAACACCCATGTGCACAAAATAAACAAAAAATTTTTTTAAGCCAGGCAATGGCAGCACACGCCTTTAATCACACCACTCAGGAAGCAGAGGCAGGCAGACTTCTGTGAGTTCCAGGTCAGCCTGGTCTACAGAGTGAGTTCCAACACAGCCAGGGCTACACAAGGAAACCCTCTCTCAAAAAAACAAAATAAATAAATCACCTTTGTTAAGCATGTTATAAAAACATTGAAGGACTGATTTCCTTATTTAAAAAATAATAAAAATTAGGGAAATGTGAAGGTGCGCTCAGTGAGTAGGTTGTCTCAAAGAGTGAACAGAGGAAACTCATACCTCTCTGAAAACTACTTTTTTAGGGCCAGTCTTGCTATCACATACCTGCAACCCTCACCACTGAGAGGTGGAGACAGGAGAACCAGGACTTGAAGGTCATCTTTGGCTACAGGTCAGCTTCGGCTCTATGATACCATGTGTCAAAATCAACCACAAGACAAGCAGTCACTATGAAAAGTGCTTTCTGTAGAGAGCCAAGCAGACCTGTTCCCGACACCAGCCTGCACTGTCCTCCTCATAGTCCTGCTGTTCTGGACGTGTCCAAACACTGGGAGGACACACCAGCAGCTGCAGAGGACCACCATAACCACGGTTAAAGACCTGTTTCAGTTGGGACTGCTGTGGGATGGTCTGTTTGTCAAATTGCTCTGATTGGTCAATAAATAAAACACTGATTGGCCAGTGGCCAGGCAGGAAGTATAGGCAGGACTAACAGAGAGGAGAACAGAGAAAACAGAAAGGCGGAGGGAGTCACTGCCAGCCGCCACCATGACAATCAGCATGTGAAGACACCGGTAAGCCATGAGCCACATGGCAAGGTATAGATTTATGGAAATGGGTTAATTTAAGCTATGAGAACAGTTAGCAAGAAGCCTGCCACGGCCATACAGTTTGTAAATAATATAAGCGTCTGTGTGTTTATTTTATAAGTGGGCTGTCAGACTGCCAGGGCTTGGTGGGACCTGAAGAGAAGCTCTCCAGCTACATCCACTGCAGATAGGATGCACTGGCCTTGGAAAGCGGCTCTCTAGGCAAGATAGGACAGGAGAAGTCTAGATGACTTCAGCCATTCTCACCTAGGCCAAAGTGGGAGGGCTTTTGCTGTTCAAAGCTTTGAACTGGTACAAATACAGTGGCATACTTGCATGCAGATTTATGTCATGATTTGTGTGATTTTTTTGGAACACTACGCATTCTCCTACAGTCTAAATAATAAAACCAGGTGGTGGCGCACGCCTTTAATCCCAGCACTCAGGAGGCAGAGGCAGGCAGATCTCTGGGAGCCAGCCTGGTTTACATAGCGAGTTCCAGGACAACCAGGGCTTTGTTACACAGAGAAACTCTGTCTTGAAAAATAAACTAAAAATAAATAAACAAACAAACCCAAACAAACAAATAAACAGATAGTAAGAGAGCTGTTGGCCATGTTGGCTCGAGTGTCAACTATCCTGGTCGAACCCCCGGGAACTTCCTCCTGTCTTAGTCCCAGGTGCTGGGACTACATGTGTGTGCCAACATGGCCAGATTTGGTTTTCTGGAGACAAAGTCTCACTTTTTAGCCCCTTTACTGGCAATCAGCTGGACTAACCTCATAACCTCAGGAATCTGCCGTTTGGGGCCTTTTACAATCACCAAGGGGACACCCCAGCAGCTGCAGAGGACCTGCTCTACCTGTCACCACTCCAGGCAGTCTGCACTGGCCTTGGGAGGTAGCACTCTTCAGCAGGACAGGGCTGAGTAAAGTCTAGAGGACACTGCAGCCATGTTTGACCAGGCTAGATGGGGAGCACATCCCCCGGTGGGCCAGCTGAAGGCTAGTGATTGGTATTGACAAAAATCTTTCATTTGCATGAAGGACTGTGTTATAATGGTGTTCTATCCTTCCCATACATCCAGGTCTATCTATATACACTGGTTTCTTTCCTTATATTTATTTATGTATTCAATTTTGATTTTTGAGAGAGGTAGCTCAGGCTAACCCAAAACTAGCAGTACAGCTAAGGATCAACTTGAGTTCCTGATCCTCCTGCCTCAGCCTCCTCAGTTCTGGGACTATAGGTGCATGCCACTGTGGTGGTTTGAGAGAAAATGCCCCTCTCTAAAGGAAACAGCACTATTAAGAGGTGTGGCTTTGTTAGAGTAGGTATGGTCTTGTTGGAAGAAGTATGTCCCTGTGGAGGAGGGTTTTGAGGTCTCATATATGCTCAAGCCACCCTCAGTGTCTCAGACCACTTCCTGTTGCCTGTGAATCAAGATGAAAGAATTCTCAGTTCCTCTAGCACCATGTCTGCCTACATGCTACCTTGCTTCCCACCATGACAATAATAGACTAAATCTTTGAAAATGTAAGCGAGCCACCCAGTTGAACATCTTCCTCTATAAGAGCTTCTATGGTCATGGTGTCTCTTCATAGCAATGGAAACCCTAACTAAGACAGCCACCCTGCCCAGTTTTGTTTAGTTTTTTTTTTTTTTATTGTTCTGAGATGGGGTCTACTTTGTAGCCCAGGTTGACCTACAACTCACAGCTCTTCTCTTGCCCTAGTCTTCTCAGTGTCATAATTACAGGAATGTGCCAACACCCCTGGTACACTTTCTGTATCTTAGGATATTTTGACACCTTGGGAGAACCTCCCCCTTTCCAGGTTAGCTGTCTTTTGTGGACTGCAAGAGCTCTTCGGAGAGGCATGTCTTTCATCTACAAACCAATCAATCTTGTGTCTACATTCTCAATACCTTCCTTATCTAACTCTGACATGCCTCTTTCTCCTTTCCAAAATCACCTACAGTCAGGTACCAGGCAACTAGACACCATCAATACACTCCAAACCACTGAGCTATTCCAATTTGGCAATGCCTTATTCCTTCTGCCCTGGCTTGCTTTCCCCTCAGACATGCCAACAGAAGCTCTCCCTCGAGCATGTTTCCCATTGTATTCTTTTCTTTTATCTTTCTAAAAGTCTATATTAACTGGGAAGTTATGGGATTCTCCAGGCTGAACTGGATTCATGATTCTCCTCACTCCAGGCTCCTAAGTGTTGGGATTATAGGCCCTCACTGCCACAAGCAGCTTTCTCATCTTTCTGATTCTCATTCATGTTCACGGCAACTTGATCCAAACCTCGGGTGTTCTCTTGGCCTGACTTACAAACAGCAACCATCTCTCTGGTTCTGTGACCATATAATCATCTTCTTTACAAGATGCAATCTGGTCCCTAGTTGGGTCTGTAAGGTCTTTATCATCCCATCTCTGTAGCTAGAGTTTTTCTCTCCAGGTCCTGCCAAGCTCCAGCAGTCCCGTAGCCCACTTATAAAATAAACATACAGATGTTTATATTATTTAAACTGCTTGGCCATTAGCTCAGGTCTACCATTGTCTAGCTCTTACTCTTATACTCAGCCCATTTCTGTTAATCTATATGTCGCCATGTGTTCCGTGGCTTTACCTGCTGCCTTTACATGATGCTCCCTGGACAGCAGGTTGGCATCTCCTCCTCTCTGCCTCCCTTTTCTCTCAATTCTCCTCTCTGCTAGTCCCTCCTGTACTTCCTGCCCAGCCACTGGCCAATCAGTGTTTTATTTATCAATCAATTATCCACAGCACATCTCCATCATCTACTCTCTTAATACAATGCAGGAATCAGGAATCAAGGAAAGGAGATAACAGAAGATAACCCATGTGTCTAACTCACCTTACTGAAAACTTAATGAGTAGAGAAAAGTAAACACCCTGAAGAGATCTCCTTGGTAGGGGAGATCTTAATAGTGATCAGCTTCTAGTGGCCAATGATAATGAAGGGATGTGACCACAAGGATTCCAAGTCCTTTTATCCAATGACCTAGTTCATTACCGCCAACAAAGCACACACTTAGGCGCAAAGATAAGGGGTTGTAATTAAGAAAGGTTATTAATGACAGGTAACATGTCCCAAGCCATCTCCTGCTATGATTAAGATATTTTAAATTAAGTATTTGTAAGCCTGAGGAGTGGGTATTGGGCTTTCTGATATATTTATTACAGGTCAAGTACATTGCTCACAATGAGTGTAGGATCACACATTGATCAGAGGTCTGTGGCTAGTGGGATTTTAAAGTAGACTGAACAGGATTGAGAATGGAAAATGGAAGAAGTGGGTTAGTGATGTAGTTGAGTTGGTAGAGTGGTTGTCTAGAAGATGCAAATCCCTGGATTCAGTCCCTAACACCAATAAATTAGGCATAGTAGTGCCCTCTGCACTGGGAAGGGGAAGGCAGGGGGATCAGAAATTCAAGCTTATCCTAGGCACATAGAGAGTTGATGGTCAGCTACTGGAGACTTTGGAACAAAATTTTAAATGAGGATGAATGTTCAGGGAGCATCTTGTCACTGTTGTTGGAAAAAACTCACGGCTGCCTGAAAAATACTTCTCTGGTCATTCATTGTGTCAAATGCCAGTGATTCCAGCATTTAGGAGACAGAATAAAGAGAATCAGGAGTTCAATATCTTCCTCAGTTATGGGCCTGCCTGGGCTGTATTAGACCCTATAACAAACGGTGAACCAACCAAAAACAATTAAACAAAACAAAACCTTAGTGTTTCTGAGTGCAGGCTGCCCTCATGGCAATCCTGGTGTTTCCAGGAGTTTACAATTATTGAGCAGACATTCCAGCCTCTACAGAAGACCACTATGACCTTGCTGAAGATAGATCCAGACATTCCAGCATCTACAGAGGATCACTATGACCTTGCTGAAGATATATCCAGACAGCCTGCATTGGCCAGGGAAAGCAACACTCTTAAGACAAAGTAGATGATGACCTGTAGCCATTTTCATCTAGGCCAGAGGGGCAGTAGTTCATCCTGATAGCCCTGCTGGAGACTTGTGATTGATAGTCACAATACTTCATTTGCATGAAGAACTTTGAAATAATTGATACAATGTCCTTGGCCTACCCCCACCTATTCCATCAGCCCCTCCTCCCCTTAAGCTTTTTGAGACAGGATGCAGTTTAGCACAAACTGGCCCCAAACTGTGTAACCAAGAATCACCATAAACTTCTAATCCTCCTGTCTTTATCCACAAGTGCCATGAATACAGGTGTGGGCCAGCACACCAGGATGGCTCATTTTTTGAGCCCCTGGACTACGCCTTGGTGTCGCAAAATTGGGCCCTTTTTTGTTTGTTTGCCTGCTTTTTCTTTTTGTAAGTAGAGCAGGCTGAGCATGTAAGTCAAAGAGTAGACAGCCTAGGTCACGGCCTAGAGCAACAAGGCCTTAGTTCTCTACATTTTGAGGTACAAGCCTTTGACACACATCCATTTCAGCCAACACTAGAAGAGCCCTTTCTCCCCTGCTCACGATTTCTTTCTTTCTTTTTTTCTTCTCTTGCCTCCTCTTCCTTTTCTCTTGCTAAAAAAAAAAAAGACTTTTTGAGAGACAGGACATGTCATAGAACCCAGGCTGGCACCAAACTATGTACAAGATGCCCTTGAATTCCTCATTCTCTTTCTTGTAAGTGCTGGGCATGGGCCACCACATTGGGCTCCTTACTTAGGGTTTCTGAGTAGGGCAAAATGATCATAAACGGGCAATAATTTTTAAATATATACTATATAGACGTATATGGATTGCTATGAAATCGAAACCAGGACCTAGCATATAACGCTTACTTCTGAGTAGGGCAGAAAGCCAGGCTGGATGTCATGGTCAAAAAAGTAGGATAGACTTTCTTGAGGACAGCCTGGAGGGGCTGCAGGAGCTAAGGCCCGAGTCCATCGTTGCTTTTGGCCACTCAAAGAAAAACCTACTAGAAAGTCGCCCCCTAAGTTTGGGCCATCATCGCTCCACCTAACCTCCCCCTATGTGGAGCCTGCAGCAAAACCGCCACGTGCGGGAATGCACGTGGCTGTGGGGGGATTTCCGCCGGGCAAGAGGCTACTTCCGGTTATGGCGTCCATCAGTGAGTACGGGTGCCGAGTGGGGCCTTGCTGCCCTGGTCCGGACACTACACTGGATCTAGGAACTTAAGGAGAATGAATGATGCTTCAGGACCTGACTTCGTTTCCAGGTTCCCTAGGTTGCTAAATCTTTTGTTGTTGGAGAGAAACCGGTTGGAGAATGTATGCCCAGAATCCCCCCCCCCATGCTACCTCCCACACCGATTACTCTTTGAACAGAAAATCTATATCTGATAGAAGATGCTGTCACATGGGAGAGTAAAGGATGCCAGAAGGGAAGAAGATGCTAAAAGATGCTAAAAGATGACATCAGTGCATATCAGACACAACCACGTTGCTTAAAGCCAAGATAAACAAAGTTTCAGAGCTCAGCCAAGAAAAGATGGGCGTTCAGTAACACGAGGGAAAGCCTGAGATAGAGACGTCAGTTTATTTCACGTAACTTGAATCCTGTAATTTAGGTAACATCAGAAGCTTCTTTATAAATTAAGGAGATGTTATGTATGCTATATAATAAAACATTAGGAAGTTTCTAAACCAACATCATTTGAGGACACAGTTATAAACTGTACTTGAATAATTGCACAAATAAAATTCATCTATAAAGGGTGAAGGTTTGAGGATTATGGGAATATGAACATAAAAGTAAAGCTTTCCCAGGAAACCCCAATAGAGAACTTTAGAAGGTGAGATGGTTCAAGGTGTAAAGGTGCTCGCCACCAAGACTGATGACCTGAGTTGGGTCCCCACAACTCAGAACTGGCTCCAGCAAGTTGTTCTGACTTCCATGTGCACCTCCCCACATGCACACCAAATAAACAAACAAATAAATGCAAACAAACATTTTCAAAACGTAGTATTCTTTTCTTTATTCTTTTTTTCCAGATAGTCATGCTACATAGGACATAAGAGCCCCAAACTTGCTGTGATCTTGCCCTCTAGTGTGATACTGACTTGACTCAATTTGCTTACTATGATAATCTCAGGATGTATGGTTTTCCTGTAAATGACTTTTTTTCCCCCTGAGACTGTCTCATATAGTACAGTCTGGCCTTGAACTTGCTATATATCTGAGGATGACATTGAACTTTTGATCCTTTTGCCTCTGTTTCCCGAATTTCAAGATCACGGGCATGTACATCTACACCAAGTTTATGTGATTGTGAGGTGCTGGGAATTGAACCCAGGACTTCTTGCAAGCTAGGGAAGGACTCTACCAACTAAGCTGCACCCCCTAGTCCCTTGATGACATTTAATTAGCAGTCTTCTGATAGCCAGTGACATTGAACATTTTTTTCCTGTTTACTGGTCATTTGTGCTTTATATTTTGAGTACTGGATGTTTAATTTTATGCCATCCTGTTTGTCAGTTGTTGGCATAATGAATGAATAGAGCCCTTTTTCAGAAAGTCCTTGCCTATGCCTATATTTTGAAGTCTCCCCCACAACACAACCTTCTCTTGTAGTAGTTTCAGGGTTTAAGTCATACATTAGTTGTTTTTTCTTTTCTTTAATCTATTTTAAGTTGATCTTCATAAAGGGTGAGAAATAGGGATCTGCTTTCATTTTTATACTCCTACCAGTTTTCCCAACACCATGTGTTGAAAGAGATAGAGCTAGAAGGGTCAAGACTTCAGACTGTCTTTGGTTACCTAGTAAATTTCCAGCTAACTTGGACTACCTGAGACTCTGTTCAAAAAAATAATAATTATAAAGTAAATAAAATCAAGACAAGATAAAACACAAATACTAATAAGAACCACACGATACTCATATTTTAAAATAAAAGAGAAAAGAATATGAAGAATATTGAAAACAAATAATAAACCAATATTTCCACACCCCAAATTAATCACTGATGTTTAATGTGACTTGTGGTTTACTACAAATTATGTAGTGAATAACATACTACCACAGACTGAGCACATTATAAAGAAAAAAGTTTGTTTTAGTTACAGTTAAAGTTTAAGTTAGAGGAACTACATTTGGGGCCTTATGCTGGCAGAGTCCCAAGGCTCCACGGGCCATCATAATGGTGAGAGTTGGGAACATGAGCAAGACAGCTGAACTGGCTTTTACAGCAACCTCCTGGAAAAAAAAATCCACTTAATCCAAAAACCCATTAGTCCATTAATTGCATAAGTGGTTTAATGTAGCAGGAATCTTAAACGTTCTTATTAATAAAATCAAACCTGAGGCCAGTTATTGGGGTCCATGCTGGTAGATCAGAGAGACAGAGCAAGCCACAGCTATCTCACCTCGCCG